GTCACATACATACAGCATGACAATGCTAAAATGGGACTTGACTGTAGGTACCATATCCAGTCGAAGTTCTTGATGTAATCTTCTGACTATCACTTTGAAAAAGACTAAAGATTCGCCTCTCTGTTGAAATGATGTTATACCATGCCACAAGACCCATATAGTAACACAGTGGAAGAAAAGCATGAAGTATGTTTTGAATGTTTCTATTTATTAAAAGTAGAAAAGTATGGTGTAAGTTGGATGAAGGTGAAATAAGATAATGTGTTTTCTTTTTTTTTTAAGAAAAATAACCTGAATAATTATATCACTTATCTTGCAGAAGAATTTATCTGTAGTTATTTTGTGTACGTCAAAGATACTAAGTAAACGAAAATGCACCCAATCTATTTGTTTCAAAGTCAAGTTTCCTTTATTTCACACCTTTCATGTTAATATAAATAGATGTGGGAGTGTCATTGATGTTTACTTTATTTGTAATAAGTTCAGTCAAAAATCATCAATTATTATTGTCCACAAAATGTTTTACCTAAACATTCTTCTTCAAACTTACCCTACCTTTGAAAATTATGTATACCTTATCAATAAAAATACATCACAAAGCAAATAGTTTTACTTTTATTTTCATATCTCTGCTTGTGGCGTTACGATAATGGCATTAACTATAAGTTATAAGCTTAAAATAAGTTGTATACATGAACTAAATAGTGGTTAATTTGGTGTCAAAATTGGCAGAAATGTTTTGACACAACAATGGTTTAATTTTAATTGAAATTTAATAATTATCAGAAATATGTTTTTATTTAAATAGCTTACTGTGGTGAAAAGTAAAGTTGCAAAACAGTGAGTTTTAACTTTTTTTGTCTCGTTACGTCTCATATATATATATATGGATTAACGAATGTGTTCGAGACTGCATAGACCTGACTAAACCCAATATGGACTTGGGTTTGAATGATGTCCCATTTTAAAAAATAAAATATTCATTGGCAAATGCGCATTTACAAAAAGGCAAAGTTCTGAAAATGATCAAATTTCAATTACATGTAAATCAGCGAGTAATTAATATATTTCTGCACATTTCGACTCCGAAAATACCAATAGTTTGCTTAAATAGGTTTTCCCAATTACCTTGTTACCAAGTGATCCCCCTTTCTTATACAACTTAGTAAATTTTGACAAGCAAGATTGAAGAATTTGACGGAGCATGGCTATATTTTGGATGCTATTTCACTGTAAAAACTTCGTTACAGCTCTTAAAAGGGAAAAAGTTTCATTTATTCTACAGAAAAATAACCAGGATAGAAAGAGCGAGAGGCTCGTTTCTTCTAAAGTCGTGCAATTGAGTCCATATTTCTTTTCTATTTTTTAGATAAGGTTTACGAAATTTCGTAACACTCTTTCGTCAAACCCATATTTTGCACTTATACTATTAATTTCCTGTATTATTTTTCAATAAAGCTAAAAAATATACCAGAATGTGCATTGAACTTTGTGATAGCATCTTTACATTCAGTCGCTCACAGCTTTTTTAAGCATAAACTGATGTTTAGATCCGTTTTTATAATACTAACCTTTGTTAAAGAAAAAAATAAAATGTTGTTAAATGACTCGTTATATTTATTGACATATTCAATGGGATTTTCACTACGGCATCTGTAATTTCATTAAAAAATTATACCATCGCCATCCAAATTTTGATACATCAACTTAAAAATTTCTTTAAAATCCCATTTTTGTCATATAAATCAAGTTCTATATAAAGGTAATGTCAAAATGCCATTTCCTTTTACAACTAGAGAGTGCTTCGGTGTATAGCGATATAAAATGAAAAAATGAGAAAAGAAAAGTTTTGTGATAGTTTAACATTTCCACAAATGTGTCATTTTTATTAGGAACATGAACATAAAACTTGCATTTAGTCGATTTTTTGCATAAAATATGTATTTATGGAGGATCTTTCCAATAACATGTCAATTTTAGGCTAGAAATATAGAGTAAAATATGTAATAAAACATTCTGAAGTTGTAAAAATAAAAACTTCCTTCTATGTAGTTTGATATAAATCAGATACACCAGAAAAAAATATGTTGATTAAAGAGTGGCTACGATGTATGTTATTGGAGCAATACATTCCTGGTGCATACATTGAAACCGATAGTTTTGTACTTTGATAGAACCCCTTATCAAAGTTCATCAATGATACAGTCATATGCTCCATTCTATAATGGAATAAAATTATTTGATATTTAGAAATGTGAGATAAATTTTCCGTCTTACTTACTACATGTATTATATATTCTATATTTATTGCAATTTCATAGAACAAAAAAAAAATAGAACATTCTTTTTAATTGAGACTTGCATATAATACATCGTCATGCCATTATATATACAATACAACAAGCTGCGAGGGAATGGTCAGCTGTGCACTGCATACCTTTAGAAGAGCCGAATAAAATGCTTAGACCTAGAAGAAAGTCAGTTTAGATCTGCAAATGACCAACAATAAAGTATCAAATTTGACCATAAAGGCATCCTTTTGTGGTATGTCTGTTACAACGAATAAGAAAACGTACTTATACGCAAATAGCTGAAACCGTATAAATTGTTTCAAACTTATCATTACTAATTATTGTAGTTCTTTTACATTACCGTGAAATTGTTCATACCTGTAATAAGCACGTTAAAGGCAATTAAACCTGTAATATCTTAATTTTTATTTCTTAATAGTTTTTTTTATTATGGAAGTTCTTTAAAACTTTATGCACGTTTTATTTCTTTTATTCAACACTGCTGTTTGTTCAGATGATCAGCTTTTAAACTTGCTCTTATACGTCATTAAAAGATGACAAACGACACGGTTGCAATAATCATAATCATTTCTGAGATTTAATATGCCTTTTTAAAAATCAACAAATACAAATAGATAAACATTTAAAGCAAAGAAACCACTGACAATATAACAAAATGAACAAGTATACATCTTGTTTGAAGATTAACCTACAACATCAATGTGCGTACACATATTATATAAGTTTCAATGTGATAGCATTCTTAGTAATGAAAGTATTGAAGATAATGACCACAAACGAAAACTTAACTCAGAAGTTTAACCAATGCCGACATCTTGTAAACATTGTGTTTCATAATATTTAACGTTATAACATTGCCAACAACATTTTTACAATCGCAATAAAGATATATTGGTAATCTTCTTTTAATTGTCCGCCAACGGCATCTTATTAGTAAATTCATTTAATAAGTATTACGGAATTAATGCAAATAAGACATTGCAATAAGTATGCGTGCCAAGTAGGTCTTGGCAATAAAAGCAATCTGTGTAGCTGAACGTGTTCGTGTCAGATAATAAGATATGATTCGTAACGCTGTTCTTATAAAAAATATAATATACTAAAGAAAAACTAGAAAATGTTCTGGTAAACACATATTCCCCTGAAGCACAAAATTTAAGATCATGGCCTCCCACAGAAGACCTATCTTAGTTATTAAAACAAGGTATGTAATTCCTAGATCACGAACTTGACAAAGTGACATGAGCTTTTGTACTAGTTATTGGATTAGTATTAATAAAGTCATTCAAAAAAGTAACATAGTCTCGAAATTCAAAAAAAAGGAAGAATAGGAAATATGTTAACACAGTGGTTTGCACGTTACGTAAAATAGTTATCATTTGGTCCGCTCAGTATATTCAATATATGTAAGCTAATTGTAATAGGGGATCTCTTGACAGCAATGAAATCAAAGTTTGAAATTGGAAATCAATCATACAAGTTAAAAGGCAAAATGTCCAGAAGGACAGAAAGTTCAATATCTAGATGTCTTATTTCCATGGTATTAAATACTAAAAGCTTACCCTATAACACTTTTTAAAGCATGGAGGTTTTAACTGTGCAATTTGTCAACTTTTATTTCTCAACACCAGTAACACTGATAATACACCATAGTTTATGATAGATGTTGTTTAAATCGTAGTGATACAAATCTGGACTATTTCATTTGGTTTCAAGTTTTGTTACTGTTGATGCTATCTTTCATGATAATAGCTATAATAAATTACTTTTACGTTGACGAGGAGGAAACATATTATGTTTTTTATCATCTGTAACATCTAGTATCTGCTGAGTTTATAAATCTACTTTATGTGATGATTCATCAGAAACATTTTATTATTAATAATTGTACAGTTGTCAGTGACAAATTAAAACAGGGTGTTGTACTTGAGTAAATTAAGATACAAACGTTAGTAAATTCTTGTCATGCCATTTGATTGCAGTTCGGAGAGGGGGGAAATATCGTTGGAATTCTACAAAAAAATCATTATCTTAAATAAATCTGAAAATGTATCAGTGCGTGTAAATGTTAATTTGGTTCATTCAATAGTTAATCATTATGATTGATAATTACTTACCGAACGGAGATAAAATCTGAACATAGTGAGATATACCCAACTATCTGAACAAAAATACTTTTATCCGGTTACTAGTATAACCAAGAACGGATTTTACTTGAATAGAAAATTTATATATACATATATTATGTATGTATTTTTTAAAATTGATTGAAATATAGACACTTATAAGACATTCAGTTTATATCATCAGATCCAAGTTTATAACTAAATCATCATGCTATTATCATGACTCACTGTCGACTTTCAAAGTGGTTAAAATTTTTATCAAGGTCCATTTTTGAAAATGAATTTAAGTTATTCGCTTCTAATTTAGTATACCTTTTTAATATCAAAATTAGAGGACAGGGATCATTTTTACTCATTGTTGAGTGTAAATTTCGTTGAAGGATAATATTATGTGTAAGTTAGCATTAATTAAAGCATACCATCCTTGCTATATAACATGTTTGTATTGATTTAGTTTAAATAAGTTTTAGAACACCATGGTGAACCCAACTGTAAATCCAACATCCCAAATAACTAGTTAAATGCAGTATACTACTACTATACAAAGTTGTACTACTGCAACAAAGTTGTTCGATAGCGGGACAGCAAGGATTATAGTGGGAAAGACGTTAGTGTATGTGAGAGAAGAAATGAGCTAAATGTTTCTATGAAGTTGGTCAGTGACGCCTGATTTGCTTGATAAGTTAGTCGGGAATTTAAAATTTGATATGATTGTCGCTTCAATAATTTGTGGGCGGTACATTGTGTTAGGCGCAAATAAACTAATGGACACTTGAAAAATTTAGAGAGTAGTTAATCTTTTCAAATATTCTAATGAACGTATTATTTGTGTAAATATAAATCCGCTTTCACGCTATTGAAAACATTTGAAGAGGAATTTTTTAAGCATTGCAATTAGTGAATGATTAACCCTTGAATGTTTCGGACGGACCATAAACTGAAGTGTAGGTTTTTTGTTTCTGAGATGTAAAATTGTATCAAGAAAACTTCAAAATGGACCCAGTGAAAATATTGTGTTTCATGTTTTCTATTTTGCTGGGAGATATGTGGATCTTAAGTTCGGCAAAACATTTGCCAGAAGACGAGACCAACTGGCTGAGAATTCGAACCAGGATCCTTTATCCTCAGAATTTCGCGAGTGTTCGTATAAATTCACATAATGAAAGGGAGCTACGTGTGTGTTACGGGAAAGTGTTAGCGTTGGAAACATACATGTCAAGTGGCTATTCATTGGATTATGATATGGTTTTACGGCAAATTACCGACGGCCGACGAATTTTACAGGCGGTGTACCAAGGAGGGGTTATGAAAGAATGCGACTTTTCACAAGACTCTAATCAAATGCTAGATTTCGTGTCAAATTTTATGGCGTCAGATTACTTTGGAGATGATTACGGGGACATTATTTCCTCAATTTCGTATTCAAACTACACAAGAAAAAATACGATGCTTGCTTATCGGAGGCTCAAACAATTAGATTCTTTAAAAGAAGTGTCAGAGCTGACCGATATGCGTTTATTTAGAAAGCAATGCCGAGAATTTCTGACGAGTGCAAATTTAATTGCGAAGAAAGAAGCTCAGTCAGGCAACTTTACAGATATTTATGCTGAAATCCTTGAACACACAGACCCTGAGAAAATTAGTGAATTCAATAAAGAACTTTTGGCTAAACATCCTAGCAAATTCACTAAAACCCCACCAATCACGGAACACGACATCAGCAAGCGTTCAACTGCACCACTCAAACGCAAACGCTCGAAACGTGCCTCTTTCGATTTCAATAGCGTGCTTATATTTCCAGGAACTAAATGGTGCGGGAAAGGTGATCTAGCTCAATGCTATGAAGATTTAGGAGATGATCATGAACTAGATGCATGTTGTAGGGATCATGATTGTTGCCCCTTTATGATCCCTCCATTCTCTAACAGATTTGGAGTATTTAACTACAGATTCCATTCCCTCATCCACTGTGACTGTGACCAAAGGTATTTACAAACGATTAATTTATAAAATATTTTCACTAGTCTATCATAGTAACGTTCTGATTTTTACGGTTTTTCTAAGCTCGTTGTTTTTGCTTTTAGTGCATTTGATTAGGTTTATTGCCTCTGGCTATATTTTTTTTTAATGTTAGCTGTGCCGCCAAGCAACCGTTTTATGTATTTAAACACTTATTAGCGTTACTTTTTTCGTTTTCTAAAATGTAATATGATGTTTCATCAGTATGTGAGCTTATATAGTCGATATTATGACTTATTTACATATCCTCTGATTTTTTAGCAAAAAGTACTAAAATTTCTAGACTCTAACGTTACATAATCGTTTTTGAATCTAGACAATGGCCCAGTTGTTCAAAACTTTTGTTAAATATTTAACAATGACTTCATAGTTAAATTAACAACAAATTGTTAAATTCTGTGTTAAATTTTGTTGTTAAGCAATTCTGTTGTTCAAACATTGTTAACGTTAAAGTTCTGTTAAATTAACAAAGTGTTGTTAATTTTTTTGTTAAATATCTTTGTTAAAAAAATCAGTTGTTCAGAAAAAAATAGCGTTATCTTTTTGTTAAAACATCGGCTTTAACAAAGATTTAACAAGAAAATTAATTCACCTCCATAGGTGAATTAATTTTATTGTTAGTGGCACAGAAAGTTGCTTGTTCCCTTATTTTACCCCTGTCAACTCCAAAACAGTCGCTTTTAACATTTTAACGCCATTGGGACATCATTCTTAATTATAAAAAGATTCTAAACAATTTACACAGGAATTTAAGAAAGTCCCATTTACTATCAATAGCCTCAATGTGGTATACAAACAAATTAATTTTCATAAAATGTCTGAATCTGTTCAATTATCATACTGGACCGGGTTGTTCAAAACATTGGTTAAAATTAACCAATGGATAGCTTATCCACTGGCTAAATCCTTAACCAGCGGCCAGCTATCCAGTGGATAAAATTTCATTGTTCAATAGTTGGATAGTACACTGGCTACCTAACCAGTGGATAGCGTATTTATCCACTGGTTAAGTACCACAATGCAACAGGGTTGGTTAGTGATTCTGGAAACAAAATGGCTGATTTTTTTACATATAATAAATTCATTAGAATCAAAAAGCTCCCAAAAAATATTTTTGCACGTTTTGTGCTTTCTTGTTTTTGGAATTAAACAAAAAGTATATCAGAGGCCTTAAAGTATTGATAGATTTATTTTTCCCTTAGACACACATAAGAAAAAATTCAAAACAACTTTTTTTCAAATTTTGAATTGAAATTACTTCCATTAGATAAGTAATGTTTTAACTAAGAAAATGAGTACTGACACTTGTATGTTTTATTAAAGAATAAGAAAGTTATGACTTTTTAACTGAATTTTCTAAATTACAACAACAACAAATTTAGATTGAAAAAGGGTTCTAAAAGCACTTTTTCAGAAATGTTTCAATTTAATCCTATGCATTTTATATGAAATGTTCTAGTTAAGAAAAATAAACATATTTTTTGCAACAAAATCTTGTTTTAAACAAGTTTTAATGATTTTGACTGTTTTAATGATGATGACTAACCACTGGTTAAGGGCATTATCCGGTGGTCATACGACTGGTTAAAGTTAACCGCTGGATAACGCATTTTATCCATTGGATAAGTTTTGAACAACAGAATTTATCCAACAGACAAAAGTTAACCAGTGGATAATGAATTTAACCACTGGTTAACACTAACCAATGTTTTGAACAACCGGATCCTGATAAACAAGTTTTAAAGTAATATAATCAGTATTAAGATCATCTTTTAAATTCAGCATAAACAAACATAAATTTATTCCTGTCTGTGATTTAATTGACTTTCTTGAACTTCACTTAACAAATGTAGTTACCTCATTCTACCTTATTTTGGATCATTAGAGTAACAAGCTGACATAATATTGTACTGCTAGTGTAAAACCATATATATATGCTTGTAATTTAACTTCTAGCGGGCAAGTTGATAGATTTCTTTTCAAAAGTCCCAGAGTTTTGTATGCTTTGTTACAGATTTCTTCCACATGTTTTCCCCAGTGCAAGTTACTTCTTATATGGACACCAAGATATTTAATAGATTGTAGAAATTCCAGTTTTGTCCCTTGTAATGTATATTCATAGGAAATTATTTTCCTTTTTCTAGTTAGAGTCATCATGTTGCATTTCACTGGTTGAAACCTCATACCCCAATTTGTTGCCCACTGTCCTAGCTTGTTTATGTCCTCTTGTAAAATTTCGCAGTCTTTTTCACTTAATATTTCTCTGTAGCAGACGCAATCGTCAGCGAATAACTTTATGTTTGACGAAATATTGTCCGAAATGTCATTTATATGAACCAGGAATAATATCGGCCCTAACACCGTACCTTGTGATAATAAAACTTTAATAAAACTGCTAACATTATTCGTCTGTTAAACTCAATATTAATAGAATGCAAAAGAAATTAGTATGTTAAACTCAAATTTAATAGAATGAAAAAATAATTTGTCTGTTAAACTCAATTTTAATATAATGCAAAAATATTTTGTCTGTTAAACTCAGTAATTTGTCATGCATTATACACGTTTTATTATTTCTTCAGCAAGTCTGTCGAGGGAAAAGCAAGCGCAATGTTGCCAGATTATGTTTTCTACATCAAAACAATCTGAATATTTAGTTCGCTATTTATGTGTGGTTATAACAGAATGTTCTTGTGTTATATTGAGTGGTTACTTACATTAAATCAGTTATTCTTTTCACATTACACTTTGCATAACAGCTTAATATTGTAACATTACGTTCTTCCTAGCGCTATAATGTACGGTATATTAGTAGCGAATACATAAATTGAACAAAAATGCTTATTTGTTTAAATGTTCTCTCGAGCATAATGATTTATTAATCCGTTGACAGACGTACATTAGTTTTATTAGTTTATATATGAGAAAAATAATTGATTATAACTTTAGTAATCAGAACTACATTTTGTGTATGTGTGTCTTTATCATATTGACACAACAAAGACGCGTTTATATTATTTCCTCTGTCGAAAGATGTTGGTCTCTTCAATAAGGCATGGAAAGATTAAGATATAAGATTAAGTTTTGTTCTTTAGATTTTGTTTTTATTTTTGAAATGCTTTACAAAATTAAAAAAGTTTACACATTTTTTCTGACAAATTAAACTTACACATAATAACAAAGAAAGTTTAGATTCAAATAACGTTATTTACATTGCTTTTCTCGTCACATGTACAATTATTTGCACCAAATGACCCATTAGTATTATCCATAACTTAATCTATTTTCAACACCCAACAATTTTTAATACAAACCAGACCTTCATTGATATATTAAGTTAATTAATAATAACCAAAGCATTCTGTTCCCACAAAGGCAAACGAACCTTTACATGCTCTGGCATATATTTCACTAATGAAATATAATAAATTATCCAGCCACTAAAAGCTCATAAATTCATATCTACATCCAGGGTAATTTTATGTCTATTAAATTAATGTAGTTTGTGTCTGGACACGAGCGTTTGTTCTTTTTTCTCTTTTATTGTTGGAATGTTAGGTAAAAGTACAACACAATTTAGTTGCTTTATTTAAGTTTCTTCAAAGAAGTGCTAAATGAAAAGAGTTTCCTCTTAAATCGTTTTGCCACTTAACATGAATACCTGGTATCCATGATGTAAACCTACCAGTGGTTTTTATTTACATAAGTTTATGTATATGTTTTAATGTACGCTTGTACATACACTAAATAATGCTAATCCTTTTTAAAGTTTAATCTTGAAATATTTGACAATCACACTCATCACTTTGTATATAGACCGACGTGTTGAAGTATATGGGTAAAGATGTAGCAGGTCGCCGTCAGCAAGTATTCATTACGATTTTATCAGACCCCTGTTCATTCCGTAATGGCTTTAATTAGCCAGTTTCGAGTAAACTTAAACTAACTTAATCGTTTGATGTTAAAATGTGTCAGCAAAGGAGCAAAATGCTTTTCTAGAATCAATCAAACGTCTCTATTTATTTTTCTATTTTGTTGGACATGAATTATATGATTTATATAGGAATGTTACTATTGTCAACTAAATATAGCTCCAGCGTAAATGTATCCCATTTTGACGGATAAAGCTCCCCATGTTGAATAAATTGCAATTTATCATTTTAATGCTTGTATTTTATATAAAACGCTCAAGTCATTTTAACGTTGAAAATTCTACATGCCTTTATAGTCCTATCTTAACTAAGCACTAATTAAATCGTTATCATTATTATATGATTATCATCATCATCATCATCATCATCATCGAGCGAATGGTGTATTCTAACATGCAAAGTATGAATTTATTTGATTAAGAATTTAAAAGTGATTCTGAGATTTTTTCAAAAATGTTTAACTGTTATGGTGCGACATTAAAATTCCAGTTGTAAAATATCAATAGCAAAATGTACGTTGATACAAGTTTGGTGACTGGGTTCAATACTTTACCTACAATGCCTTAATTTTGACAGAGAAAATGACTACGACATATTCAAGATACATACTCATTAAGAAAACATAGAATACTTTAACTTTAGCTAAAACATGTTATCAGTGATACTAATCCGATACAAATTTGTGTGCACGTCAGTCCATTACAATGAATAAAATATAAAGAAGTATTTGCGTAATGATACTTTTTTGTCACTTTTTAAGACGGACGAACGTACATGAGGGAGAACGTAGGACAGACAAAAGAACAACAAACACTTTTTAAATACATTTAAGTCAGTTGTATGATACAGTATGAAATTTCCAGCCGTCGAAAAAAATGTTTATAGAAATGCTTTTAAATGATCGTAAACGGTCCTTTGATATTAAAAAAATATCGAAGGTGAAGATATTGTGTATATTATATAGTTGTTAATATTTGGTTCAGGTAATTATAATTCAAACATATTGAATTACAATGATGAGACAGATGATTATT